AGCTCACAGGAGGAGCGGCAGGGCTCCACGCGGTCACGCGAGTGGCGGTGGGCTGGCAGGGCAGCGACTGCAGCATCGATGCTGGACCCGCCAGCCTGAGCAAGGAACTGGACGACCTGGAAAAGGAGTGGAGCAAGATCTGGAGGGTGCAGTGCAGCCACGCCGAGTTGGAGTGGCCGACCGACCTAGGTGAGCGCCCCCCCAGGCCCAGCTGCGAGGTGATGCGGGCAGTCCTGAGGTCCTTCAGGAAGGGCACGGCCACAGGTTTCGAGGCGATCAAGCCGAGGCAGCTGCTGGAGCTCAGCGACGAGGGGATAGAGACCCTCATCGACATCGTGGTGGCGGTCGAGCAGGCCGCGGAGTGGCCGCAGATCCAGAGCAAGATCGTGTTCTTGGACAAGAGGCTGGGCGGCGTGCGCCCCGTGGCCATCGTGCACGTCCTCGCGAGAGTGCAGACGAGGTTACGCAAGCCCCTGGCGGAGGAGTGGGAGCGCAGGAATGATCGGCCGTTCTTCTGGGCGGCGCGCGGCAGAGGCTGCGAGAGGGCAGTCTGGCAGCAGGCCGTGGAGTGCGAGTGGGCGACAGCGAAGGGGCGCGAAGCTGGCGATGCATCCAGCTGGGTCGCGGCCCTCATCCTCCTGGACCTGCTCAAGGCGCACGAGCAGGTGCAGCATGGGCGCCTCATCCAGGCCGCCCAGCGGACGGGCTTCCCGCTCTGGCAGCTCAAGTTGCAGGTGAGCTTGTATCGAGCGCCCAGGTGGCTGGCGCGGGACGAAGCCGTCAGCAACGCCATCTGCACCGAGCAGGCGGTGCTGCCTGGAGACGGGCTGGCGACGCTCATGCTCAAGATGCTGCTGCTGGAGCCGCTGGACAAGCTTCAGGAGCTGGTGCCCACGCTGGCGATGTCGGTGGTCGTGGATGACATCATCTTGAAGAGGGTGGGCGGCTTCAGGCGGACAGTCAATGACCTCACGCTGGCGGCCAGACATCTCAAGGTACTGCTCGGCGAGGCCGACCTGGAGATCGCGGCGAAGAAATCCAGGGCGCTAGCGAACGTGCCAGCAGCGAGGCAGGAGCTCGAGAAGCGCCTGATGAAGCCGCTGGGGGTGCGCGCCACGGGGCAGGAGAGGAACTTGGGGGTCGACTTCAGTGGGGGCAAGAGGATAGGACGGGCTGTTCGCCACGACAGGATGGCGCAGGCGAGAGGCAGACTGCGCAGGATCAAAGTGCTGCAGGTGGTCAAGACCAAGCGGAAGGCCACCAAGAGGATCGTGAAGACGGGGCTGCACCCATGCATCGGGTACGGCACGGCCATCACGGGCTGCACGGAAGGGGAGCTGGACCGCGCCAGGACCCTCACGTTCGTCGCGGTCTCCAGCACCACGGCGAGCAAGTCCAGGTCGCTCGGGCTCATGCTCCAGGCAGGCCTTGACCCGATCTACGACGCGACCTGCAAGCCGGTGCTGATGTTGCTGCGTGCGGTCTGGGAGCAGTGGGTGCCGATGCACATGGTGTGGCAGGGCCTAGAGGACAAGCGGCCCGTGTCCTGGGTGCACGTGCAGGGCCCGTGCGCGGCGACGGTGCTCTCCCTCAGGAGGATCGGATGGGACGTCGTCGCCGCCAACCGCTGGGTCATGGACGACGGCGAGGCCATCGCGCCCTTCGACTGCGCGCCGTGGGTCGTGGCCAAGCTGATGAGGAGGGCAGTGCAGCGCTGGCAGTGGAGGCAGGTCAGCAAAGCCCCAGGTTGCGCGCACTTGGCTGGTGGCGGCGAGCTGGAGCCCCTGGTCAGGCTCACGTCCTCTGGCTGTGCCAGGAAAGCCAACGAGCCACGCCGTGAGGAGGGAGCACCTCGCACCAGAGTTCGGTTGACGGCGCGTGAGCAGGCCTACCTGAGGTCCCTCATCATCGACGGGCAGTGGACTCAGGCGCGCAAGGAGGAGAAGGGGCTGGCGCCCAGTGCTGGGTGCCTGAGGTGTGGCGCCAGGGGCACGCTGATGCACAGGCACTTCGACTGCCCGTGCTGGAGCGAGGTGCTGACCGTCCCGGAAGACTTGGCAGGTCTCCGAAGGCAGGGCGGGAGGCCTGAGGTGCAGTTGCTGCTGGAGAGGTGCCTGTGGCCGACACCACGGGGCATCCGCCGCCCGCCAGCGTGCAGCGACGTGTGCTGGAAAGGCGACCATGAAGGAGGCACCCTTCCTGAAGGCGAGCTGTTTCTCGACGGCTCGGCGTTCGAGGCGGACTACGAGGAGGTGGCGGCAGTGGGCTGGAGTGTGGTGGCGCTGCAGGCGCACAGCGACGGCTACAAGGCCTCCATCGCTGGCCAGATGGAGGGCCACTGCGTGGACATCAACGGCGGGGAGCTCACGGCGGTGATCATGGCGCTCAGGTTTGGCCAAGGGATCACGGTGCTGGTGGTCGACTCCAAGTACGTCTACGACGGCTTCTACAAGGTCGGCAGGGTTGGCACCACGGGCTACGCGTACACGTGGGCGCACCTGTGGAGGCGAGCTTGGGACCTGCTGGACGAGCGAGGAGGTCTCGGGCAAGAGGTCAGCCTCAGGTGGATGCCCAGCCACAGTACGCGGCGGCAGGTGGCGGCAGGCGAAGTGCTGTACAGAGATTGGTACGGCAACCGACTGGCTGACAGGGCGGCAAAGGCTGCGGCGGCCAGCGGGCGCCTCCCCGCGAGGGACAGAGAGCGCCTGGAGAGGAGCCGTGACGTGGTTGAACGAGCAGCCATGTGGCGCGCGGCTGTCGGCAGCTGGGTCGACGGCAGCGACACCACGCACGGCAAGACGAAGGTGCGGCGAGCCCTGCCAGTGCGCAAGGAGCCAGCGGCGAGGATGGCCTGCGTCTGGCGGAGGCTGCCTGGCCAGCGTCCCTGGTGCGAGGTCTGCAGATGGTCAGGCAGATCAGGTGAGTGCCCTGGCAGCATCGTCGCCGAGGCGATCAGGGCCAACAACAGGCTGAAGGCGCAGCAGAGGGCGTCGCACGACCTGGTGCTCCTTGCGCCTGTGGATTGGAGGATGCTGGTGCGCAGGATGCCGCTGGTCGCTTGCAGGGCGTGCGGCTTCACAGGCGCGGCCAGAGCGAGCTCCTTCCACCTCGAGTGCAGGAGTGTCCCGTCGGCTGCAGGTGCCGCCGCAGTCGCGAGACTGAGGAAGGGGCTGGCTCCGAAGGTGGTCAGTGAGGTGGCAGTCAACATCACGGTGCTGGCGGACGACGTGCAGGAGGGGAGAGGGCAGTCGCCGCGGGACATCGCGGAAGAGGAGGACGGCCACTCCTTGAGGCCGCCAGGAGGAGCTCCAGGTGGTGGGGCAGGGGAGGATGCGGGCTCGCTGCGTCCCCTGACCCCTGAGGGCTCCAGAGCGGCGGCTGGCCTGAGAGGACGAGCTGAGGTCCCTGACGAGCCCAGTGAGCATGACGCGGATCTTTTGACCAACAGTGTGGTAGACAGGACCTCGCAACTAACAGAGCGGACCCATACCCTGGGAAACCGTCAGACTGAACGCGAGGGGGAGGGCTTGGCCCGCGGATACCACGTGAACCGCGAACACAGAGAGTGGCATAGGCGAGGGACCATGCCCGTGCCAGTGGGCAGCAGCATTGTGGATGCGGACAGTGCGAGACTCGGCGGTCCCCCGCGCGGTGAGGGGTTAGACCGCAGCAGGCCCCAGCGTGAGGCGGGACCTGCAGAGGGAGAAGACGAGGTGGCCACAGGTGGCAGCGGCGGCGGTCCGCCCCCGCCGATGATGGCGGACGACGCGCAGGAGGTGAGAGGCCAGTCGCCGCAGGACGTCGCGGGGGAGGAGGACGGCCACGCCTTGCGCAAGCCAGAAGGAGCTCCAGGTGGCGGTGAGGACGCGGGCTTGCTGCGTCCCCTGACCCACGGGGGCTACCGCAGTGCGGCTGGCCCGAGAGGGCGAGCTGACGGAGGGCGTGCAGCCGCAACGCGCCAGGAGGCCGCAGGAGGAGAGGCAGGGCCTGCAGGCGGCGGCGGCGGGCCAGGCCCGCGGCGCCGCGCGGGTGTGCGCAGCAGCTCGCCGAGGCAGGACGCTCCGACGCCGTCCTCGCTGGCGCTGAGGACGGCGGCCGAGGTAGCCAGGCGGCAGGAGGGCAGCCAGCGGCCTGAGACGGGCCCTGCCGAGAGAGGAGACGAGGTGGCTGCAGGTGGCAGCGGCGGCGGACCGCCCCAGCCACGCGTGGCCAGCGGAGTCCAGGTGCTGGCGGACGAAGCGGAGGACTACAGCGCAGCGGCTGGCCCGAGCGGGCGAGCCGGCGGCAGGCGTGCAGCCGCGGTGCGCCACGCCGCGGCACGAGGAGAGGCAGGGGCTGCGGGCGGCGGCGGAGGGCCAGGCGCGCGGCGCCGTGCGCGAGTGCGCAGCAGCTCACCGAGGCTGGCCGAGCTGACGCCGCCCTCGCGGTCGCCGAGGCGTGTGGCCAAGGTGGCCAAGCAGCAGGACGAATGGCAGCGGCCTGTGGCGGGCCCTGCACAGGCAGGAGGCGAGGTGGTTGCAGGTGGCAGTGGCGGCGGACCGTCACAGCCGCGCGAGGCCACAGAGGTCAGGCTGCAGGAGGAGGTCCAGCCGCCCGCAGGTGACTCTGCTGCTCGAAGCGAAGCAGGGGCTGCGGGCGGCGGAGGCGGCTGGCCGAGGCCGCGGCGTGGCGCGCGGGAGCGCAGCAGCTCGCCAGGCTTGGCAGCCAAGGTGGCGAGGCTGCTGCGGGCCGCGCGGGGTGAGGCCTAGCCGACAGCCTCGGGTGCGTAGCTGCGCCGAGGCGCGGGCGCGCGTGGGGCGCGCGCCTCGCAGGGGTGGCCGTGGCTCGACGCGGTCCGCCTCACCCCGCGGGCATCATCATCCTCCCTCCTCCTCGTTCCTCCTCCCTCCTCCTCCTCCTCCTCCTCCTCCTCCTCCTCCTCCTCCTCCTCCTCCTCCTCCTCCTCCTCCTCCTCCCTGTCGTCCCCCTCCTGTACGCCCCCTTCCTGCTCGCCGCTCCAGGACGAGGACGGCAAGGGCAGACGCCGCAGGCGGCGGGGCCCGATGCCAGCTGCCCCCCTCCCCCGTTTGCGCCCAGGGGGGCGCGGGCGGTGCCCGGGGTCGGGGGCGGCCAAGAGGGGGGTGATCACCAGGGGAGGGGGGGGACATCATGGCTGGGGCCATGATGCGTCCCCAGATTTCACGGCGCCTCTTCTTGTTCTAAGTCGTCCCCCGCCCCCAGGGTCGCGCACATGCCGTCGGCAATGATTTGCGCCCCGCCCCCCTTGGACCCCCCCCCTCTTTGGACGCCCCCGAGGGGCCCGCCCACCTTCACGATCGGCGGCGAATCCGGGGGGGAGGTTTGGGAGTCTCGGGTGCGGGGTTTCGAAGTTTTCGGGCGCTTACGGTAGGTTCGCGTCGTGTCGACCGGCGGCGACCCCGCCGCCGGCGTTCCACGTTGAACGCCGCCGGCAGCACAGAATCGGTCGATGTTGAACGATCTGACGCTTCGGATACGGCCGAGTTGTGAAGGTTGAACGATATCCGCGGTGTCAGACACCCGCGCCGAAGTCGGCACGACACGAACCTGCCGTACACTCGACCCGCATGGTAAAGGATGGGCAACCTTCCCAACCAAGGGTGCCTTTGCCCCTTGCATCCTTGCCTCCTCGGTCCATCCTTGGCCACTTTCGTTGGCCGCGCCCCGCTCTAGAAGCCTCGAGATGACCTTCCTTCCACGGCCTTTGCATCCGTATCGCGCACCCTTATAGTAGGGGGCCGACGGCGTGGGTTCGCGGCGGTTTTCCAATCTCGGGGCGCGTTTCCCAGCTGCTGCGCCTCGCCGATGACGCCGCGGGAATGCCTGGAGCGTCCCGAACGGCTGCCCGTGCCCGAGCTGTGGCCCGAAAACCAAAAAGGGGGGGAAGTCGGAGGGGGCAGGCGTTCCCTCGAAGGAGAAACAAACGCCATAAGCGTAAACTTCTGGCGCTCCGCGCGGATTTCTGGGATCGGCGCTGCATGCCCCCCCTGCGGCGCCTCTGGCGCCGCCCCTGGCGCAATCCGCGCGCCAGGGAGGGGAGTCCAGCGCAGATCCAAGAAATCTACGCGCAGCGCCGACAGTTTGCATGTTTGCCGTTTTTGCGTTCTCTATCCTCAGAGGGCGGCGGGGCTCCTCAGAAGCCCTCGCGCCTTCTGACGAGCCTTCTGAGCATTCGCCGAAGGCGCAGACGGCTCCTCGGTTGGCGGGGGCCTCTGAGAAGCCCCGCCGCTTTCCGAGCAGGCCTTCCCCATCTCGCTTCCCCCCTGGGCGCGCTGCCAAGATGACAGGGAGGGTCGAGGAAGAGCAAACATGGATTCTGGCACGTGGATTAGCGACGGCGCCCGCCTCTTTACAGAATCGGCACGCCCCATCTTCGAATCGGGCGGCATCCAGACCTGTGGATCAGTCGCCCGCGCGCCAGATCCACGGATCCGTAATCCATGGTAGCGTTTGCCAAGGAGGATGAGGATGAGGAGGAGGTGGAGGAGGAGGAGGAGGGCAGGGGGAACAACGCGAAGGAAGAGGCATGGTGGGGAGGAGGAGGCATATGGAGGAGGAGGAGGAAGAGGAGGAGGAGGACGAGGAGGAGGAGGAGGAGGAGGAGGAGGGGGAGGAGGAGGAGGAAGAGGAGGAAGACGAGGAGGAGGAGGAGGAGGAGGAGAAGTAGGAGGAGGAGGAGGAGGCGAGGCGTTGTGGGAAGGGGCAGGGCGAACAGGAAGGCGGCGACGACTTTCGGAGCTCGGGGGGCCTCGGGTCGCTCTCCGAGGCTGTCTCGGGCGGCTGGGGCCTCTGGGGCCCCCCGACCGCCTGGCGGCGGACCGTGCGGTCAGGTCTCCTGGACGATTTCGAGGTCACCGCATGGTCTGTTTCGGCAGCGAATCATCGGAGCCTCGCATCGGAGGGCACCACTATACACCAACACCGATCCTGGCCAGGATCACCCTGGGCCCAGGATCGGTGTATATGCCTTCTTGCCCAAGGCAGGAGGGCGTATACACCGATCCTTGGCCCAGGGTGATCCTGGCCAGGATCGGTGTTGGTGTATAGTTGGTGCCTTCCTAGCATGTCCTCGCAGTTCCGCCTTTCATCGCCGGGCCCGCTCGGCTATTCGCAGAGTGCCTCTCCAGCAGACGTCTGGCTGCACCTGCGTGCCCCGATGCAATGGATCGGAGGTGCCCCTCGGCGCATCCAGGCCAATTGCGAGTAGTTCTTTTGCGAGTAGTGGATCGCGCTGGCGTATTTCAGGGTGCACCAGCGCGCGGCAGCGACTGGTGACCGATGAGCACGCACCGGTCTGGCGCAAAGCAGCGTCGATTTCGAAGCGATCAGCGTCGGTTGGCGTCTGCCCGCCAGAGCCGGCACCCGTGCCGGGACGCCCACTGGCACGCGTGCTCTGCGGCGGAGATCTCGGGCGCGAAGGCCCCGCCGCGCACCGGCGCGGGTGAGCGGCGCGCGTGCCCGCGGGTGCTCGACGATCACCGAGAGGCCTGGGGGCCGCGAGGGGCACTTCGGAGGCACGTGCGGCACGGGCGCGACGGGCAGGCCTTAGAGGTTGACACCAACACCAATATCGGTGGTGTGCCTCCACCGAGAGAAGGAGATCCCGATCTCGGTGATGGGGGTAACACTCGGGCTTCCTGGGTGGCCGAAAGATTGACCATCAGCACTGCAATCCAGGATCATCTTCTCCATGAGGAGGCAGCCCCCTGTGCTGGTGTTGGTGCCCATTGCCAGGCCTCCAAGCGAAGGGCAAGCTCAGGGCGCGAGTCTTGCAGGCGTGCCCGTCGGAGTTCTGTCGGACGTTGACGGGGCGCCACCTGGGCGTGATGCTGGAGGGTCGGGGGTGAATGGAGGCGGATCTAACCGAGTGGGTGCAAGATGGTTGCGAAGACCCCGGGGAGGGCGCAGCAGAACATCTCAGATGTGAATGCATTGCCGAGCACTTTCCTCGAAGCCTCTGGCAAGAGCTCGATTGTCGCGACGTGGGTTGCCAGGGCAGGGGAAGCGGTCGGGACCTCAGCCCTCGAAGCGCTGCGTGCCAGGACGGGAAAAGCGGTCTGGATCTGAGTCGTCGAGACGCCTTTTGCCAGGGCAGAATGCACGGGTCAGGACCGAGCGCGGTTGCCGGGCCGTGAAAAGGGCTTTGGGCTATCGAGGCGGAGGGCGCCCTCGTTCCAGTGGTGGGCTTTGCTGCAGGGCGACCGCCCGAGGCGAGCCGCAGCCGCGCTGGAGGAGAGGCTGCGCCATCACGCCCAGCGTCGCAAGAGGCGCGGCACCCGCAGGATGATCGCAGCCGAGCGCTCCGCGTCTCTCAGGTGATGGTCTTTAATTGTTTTGCCGATCGGCGCGGGCCCTCGCACCCCCCCTCCCCCTCGTCCATGGAGTGGATCTTGGCTGTTTTGGGGCGCCCGTCTTGAGCAGGTGGGATCTCCGCCTATGGGACGCACTGCCGCAACCAGTCGCACCAAGCAGCGGTCCGTAGCCAGACCCCCTCCCCGCCCTCCCCCACTTCCTCCCAATGTCGAAACACCGAATCTAAAACGATCGCCAGGCCGAACGACCGCGTCATGGGGCAGCGGGTGTTGTCGTCGATCCCGTGGTCCGCGCCCGAGACGACGGCGCCGGGCGGCGACAGGCCGGACGCGAAGGGGTTCCTGGAGTTCGCGCGGGGGCGGGGCTTGCCGATGATGCTCTGGGAGGCGATCGACACGACTCGGCGCTGGTTTATCTGGGCCGTCAGGTCGAGGAAGGACGAGGAGGCGGGGCCACGCAGAGGCGACGTCGCGGTGAACGGCTTGGCCTGCGTCTGGCCGGAGCTGTCCGCGGGGCTGCCGAGGCCCAGCCGGGCACCGCAGGCCCGGCGCTGCCTCCAGGCGGCTGGCGACAGCGGTCCTCAGCCGCCGGGGCTGGCGGGCAGTGCTGGGCGAGGCCTTGGGGCTGGCGGGCATCGCCGAGGCGGCGGAGTTGCCTGGCTGCGTTCGGGCGGGCTGTGCAGTCTGCGGGCGTCGGGCGCGCCGCAGATCATGACCGCCCTGGAGACGGGCGGCGGCGCTGCGGCCCGGGGTGGCCGAGAGGAGGGGGCCGCCGAGGCGGGGGCGAGGCACGGCGCCCTCGTCGGCAGACCGCGCGCGGCGAAGATGGCGAGGGAGCGCTGGGCGTCCGACGGGGCCAACTGCTCGGTCGAGGCCCACCGCGGGGCCCTGTCGGCAGGCATGCGCCGATGCTGGGCGTGCCGGCCTGCCGCCGCGCGCCGGCCTGCCGCCGCGTGCCGCCCGACACTCGGGGCCCTGCCGCCGTGCGGCGGCCAGCTGCCAGACGCTGTGAACACGCACGCGCTGGTCGCCGCAGGGCCAGCACTGCCAGAGGAGGCGTTGCGGCGCAGGGCCGATCCGTGGAGCGAGCAGAGTCGAGCACCCAGCGAGAGCGCGCGAGGGAGCCCAATCCCCGATTCTCTGCCCTTCTGTGCGTGAATGTTCAACTGACCGATGCTTGTTGGTGAGGGGTCTTCGGCAGACAGGTCGAGCGCGGTCCCGACCTGGGCGCGATCGCCCACCCGCCCGGCCCCAGCGCCGGGCCCTGCCTGCCGCACTATGCGTCGCATGCGGTGGAGCGGGTTTTTGTGCTCAGTCGTCTCGGGCCCTCGAGCACTCGTCTGTCCTGGGCCGCCCTGGGCTGGTCAAACGAAGACGCCTCTCTTGGCATCGTCTCCGATCGCGTGTCAGGATTCGGCGAAAAAAACGATCGTTTTTCTCTGTCTAGACCGGCGCCACTTCCGCCCGCCGCCCTTCGCTCGGGCGGGGTGCCTCGGCATGTGTTCTGTAGCATGCAGTGGCGTTGAGTCGGGCCCCCGTCTCTCTCACCTGTTTCCCCACCCCGCATTCTTCAGAGGGCGGGCTGGGGGCGGGGGTGCAGCGCGCCTCGAAGAAGTGCGGCGGCGTTATGAACATGGTGCGTTATTTTCATGTGGTCTTCGCTCAGGCTTCTCTCTTCCTCCCCCCCCCATCCACTTTTCCTGGGCTTCCTTTTGCGTTTGTTTCTCGCTCGTTCTTGCCTCTGCATCTTGGTTTCGGGCATTGGTGCTCAGTCGTACCAGACTCTCGGATAATAACCAGGCTTGAGTCGCCCCGAGTTGGCCGGGCGAATTTGCCGTTCGTGGCATCATGCCCGATCGTGTGTCGGGATTTTTGTTGCGTGCGTTTCATTATTTTGAAAAGTCAAGGTTGGCGCCACTTCCTCCGCCGCACCGTCTTTTGGGCGAGGTTTTCTGGACGGGGTTCCGGTGTGCCTCGAAACCACTGTTTCGCCGACGTCGCCGACGCATCGGCGATGCGTCGGCGATGCGGCGCGGTCCTCCGACACCACCTGCTCGGACCCCCCCTCTGCTTGCGTGGGTACGTCTGGAACGTGGCCGCGTCCCCGCAGACCGCTGTCTCCGCGGAGACGCCTTCGCTTTCTATGTAGCGTGCCGCGCTGGCGGCCCGCCAAAGCCGCGGCGTAAGATCGCCATGCCGTCTCGCCTAAAGCCCTTCAGCCTTCGTCGTTCACGTGTCACCTGCAGCTGGCTCGCACCACGCCGTGCGCTCCGCCCTTTCGCTGCTTCAGGGTCGAAAAGGGGGGGACGGTGGGAGGGTGGCGGGGGGGGAAGGGGGGGGCAGGGAAGATGGAGGGGCGGAAGGAGGGGAAGGAGGAGGATCAGCAGGACGAGGAGGAGGAGGAGGAGGAGGAGGAGGAGGAGGAGCAAGAGAAGGCATGACGAGGGTGTGAGGAGTAGGACGAGGCAGGGAGGGGAGGCGAGCGCAGGGCGAGGATGATGAGGAGGGGGAGGAAGGGAGGGAGGTAGGTCAGGGACCTCATCCGTCGCTTCTTCTCCCGTGTCTCGCCTCACTCCTCTTGCTCATCCTCGGCCTCCCCCCCTTCTCCACTCTCCCCATTCTTCTTGGCCCTCGTCCTCCTTCCCGACCTCGTCGTCCTTCCTCACTTCACACTCGGTTTCCCCCCTCTTCCTCCTCCCTCCCCCTCCCCTCCAGTCAGGTTGTTGAGATGATCGGGGGTCAATGAACTTGGTTCGCATTCTCTCCCCCCTATCCCTCCCTTCCCCTCCACGCCTCCCGCCCTCCTGTCCGGGCTTTGATGCCGACTCGTTCGGCCTCGTGCGACGCTTGACCTTTTCGGGCTCTGTTTTCGGACGGCTCCCTGCTCCATGGCGTGCCCGCTCGCTCCTCCCCGTGCCCGCCCGCGAGGAGAGACCGGGGCAAGGGCGACGGGCGGCGAGAGAGGAGCAGAAGCAGGCGTGCGCCCCGCCCCTTGGACGCCCCCCGCCGCCCGCCCGCCACCTCCGCGCGCTCGTGCCCAGGTCAGCCGCATCGCATCCACTCGCTACGTCGCAGCGCGGCAGAGGCGGTCCGCACGTGCGCTCAGGCGGTCTGGGCAGCATCGCGTCCACGTCGTCCTGTGCATTTGCTTGTGAGCACGTCTCCGCCTCCTTCCCACCGCCTTGTCGGGGGCTGCTGACGCCCCCGCCTCACTCGATGCCGCGTCCTCCATCCCATATATTCACTCAAGCTGAGACTCACTTGTGCATGCCAGTCGTTGAAAGTATTTCTTGTTTCGGCCTCCCAGGTCGCAATCTGTTTCAAGCGCTTTCCGATTTCAATCGTGGATATGTTTGGTTTGTTTCTGTTGTTATTCTCTGGGAGGGCCTGGATCCAATCTACTACTAGTCCGCATTCCTACATGTTTTACCTACTTATGACCGATGCGTATCCAGACTGACTCACACTCAGAGCACTCGTATTGATACACTTATGTCCAAGTTCCCCCACTCTCAAACTCATGCTAAATATGTTCCGCTCGCGCTGATACGCTCAGTTCAGTGTTCCACACGTCTTTGAATCCCTAGTTGTCGCTGCCCTGCCGTCCATCCATGGCTGTTTGCTCAAAGTCTTTTTCCAGGGCATGAAGGAAGCCCTGCGACCTCTCGTCGAGGCCAGCGCCTCGGGGATCCGCGAGATTGCTCGCGCGGGCTTCCACGCTGGCGCGTCCTGGGCGCTGCTGCCCAGCTGCCCTGCGGCGCCCCCCTGCCCGCCGTACCCGCCCTGCCCCGCGTGCTTCTGCACGTGCGGGGAGGGAGGCGGGGGCGGCGGGGCTCCTGCTGGCGGGGGCGGCGGGGGAGGCAGCCCTCCCTGGTTGACGGCCGCAGGCGGGCCGGTGTGTGACGCGGTCGCCGACGCGGTCGTGGGGGCGCTGCGCGAGGCGGTGGAGGGCTGTGTCGGCGGGGGAGCCGCGCTAGGACTGGTGCTGCTCGCGCTGCTCGCGGGGTTCGGACTCGGACGCCTCAGCCGCGCCGCGTCAGCTCACCTTCAGCCTCGCGATGGCCCTAGTGCCCAGGGGATCCTCGTGGCGGCTTCTCCCGGGGTGCAGAGCAGTGGTGCGCTACGCAGGGGACGACCTCTGGCACGAGCGGATCCTGCTGTACCCAGCAGCCAGTGAGACGGCTGGCGCCGGGCTTCAAGGAGCCTGCTGGGTGGTGTACACCCCTGACCGTGACATGTACATCGAGGAGCTTGAAGGAGGGTCGCCCGACGACAGCCCCGTCGAGTGGCTGGAGATGCCGCGCGACTTGCGGCTGCCCAGTGGGCTTGGGCGGGCGTATCGCTTTGAGGAGTCGCCGACGGAGGAGGTGATGAAGGGCCTCTATCGTCGGGCCTTCTCGGCCGCCCATGCCGATGCGGAGGCGCGCGGTGTGCAGCTGGAGACGCCGGTGGCGGTGCGGACTGCAGCAGGGCGAGACGTGGCAGTGCAGGAGGCGCTCGGGGCCAACTTCTTCGGTGGCCGACGGATGACGGGCAAGAGACCTCCTCTCGGTCTGGACCTCGGAGGAGACCACGGGGGCCACCCTGGACCGGCCGCAGCGGCCGCGGAGGGCATCGGCGACAGCGGCGCCCCTGGGCCTGCGGTTGAGGGGACCAGCACGCCACGGTCGAGCGGACGTGTATGGCGAGCAGCCGAGGCCGACGAGCGTTGCCGCATCGCGCTGGGAGACGAGTTGGGGCCTCCTGCGCAGTCTCTCTGCGGCAAGGGGCTGTACCTTGCAGCGCCCGGGCGAGCCGTGGTGGTGCACCTGACGGGGCTCGACCAGGACTCCTTCGTGATGAGCCTGCGCAGTGGCGAGGGCCACCCCTTCAGCGCTGGCGCCGAGAACGGGGGAGGAGGAGATGCCCGAACACTGACGGTGAAGAGTGGGCCGCGGGGCCGAGGCCGTGAGTGGCGCGAGGTCGTGGACGCCTGCGAGGAGGAACCGTTCGGTGACTTCCCCGTGGCAGGGCCCCGGTCGGCTTGGTGGTGCTTGGATTTCTTGCGGCGGCGGCGCACCCCTACGGATCACCATTTGATGTTCAAGACGACGGCGAGGCTCCAGTCGGAGCAGTGGGGGGTGCAAGAGCATGAGCAGCTCATGAAGTACATCGAGCTGGCGGGCACTTATGATCAGCTGGACCTCAGCAACTGTGCCTTCGCCGAGGCCATTTTTCGGCGGGCGCAGACCATCGAGCGGAGCTACCACGAGCGTTTGCGCGAGGCCGACTCGGCTAGCTCCAAGGACAAGATGAGTCCCGAGGAGTTCTCGGCTTTCAGCGGCTTCAGCAAGGCTGGGGACCTTCTGATGGTGGCCCCTACGCTCCTCGAGTTCGTGAAGGGCCAGGTCGAGAAGGGCGCCGCCATCATGAAGAACATCAGGAAGGCCCGAGAAGAACGAGAGTTCCGCCGCAAAGGTCCCAAAGGGGACGGCGGCGGAGGGAAGTCATGACGGCGTCGCGGGAAGGAGGCCTGAGAGCGGCCGCCTCCTTCTCGAGCTTCAAGGCCGCCGAGCCCAAGGGCTCTCCTGCATGCTTACCTGGGCGAATTCAATTCGACGGAGTTCCAGACCGTCGAGACCTTTTTCCTGTCCCGCTACTTCGGGACGGCCAGGCTCCGGCAGAGGGCATAGTGAACCGCTCGGTGCGGCGGCGGCTGCTGCGGCGTGACGCTCAAGTGGCTGAAGCCAATCGCGCCCTGGGGGCCCTCAATGATCTGGCTGGTCGGCCGGGGGCGCCCGGCGCTCCTGGCCTGGCGGAGCGGCTACCCCATCGCTTGGTACATGAGCGAGTTCGTCATGGTGCCGCCGCGCTGGGCCCCCCGCCACCTGGCCTCACTCCCGCAGGAGCCCTCCGTGAGCTCCGCGGTGCTGGCGTGTACGAGGACATCGACTCGCCAGTCGTCAGCTTCGACGATTCCCTCGTCTCGCTGCCCGAGGCCGGCAACGTTCCGGTGCCGCTTGGGGAGCTGGTTGCAGGCGTGGGCGATCTAGATGTCGAGGCATCAATACACGAGCAGCTCCTTCCACGCAAGGATGCGGAGTCCAACCTCTCTGGGGCTCCGCGACAGCCGTACATGGATGCTGTCCTCCGAGCTCAGCCACATGCCTATGCTGGGTTGGTGCGGCGCTTGCATGCGGCGGGGATGGTGACTTTCTCTGCCGCGCCACGCGAGAGGTGCGGCCTCTTCTTCGTGCGTAAGAAGTCTGGCAAGCAGCGCATGGTGATTGACTGCCGACGGGCTAACTGCTGGTTCAAGAGGCCTTCGACAGTCGCGCTGGCGACAGGCTCTGCACTTGGAGAGCTAGCCGTGCCAGAAGGAGAGCAGCTCTACGTCGGTCACGTTGACATCTGCGACGCCTTCTATCACTTTGGATTGCCTGAGGCTTTTCGGGATTATTTCGCGCTGCCAGCGGTGAAGGCAGGTGATTTGGGGCTGAGTGTCCTAGGTGGAAAGTCCCTCGCGCCTGGCAGCCGTGTGTGGCCAGTCCTGGCGGTGCTGCCCATGGGCTGGTCGCATGCGCTGTATTGGTGCCAGACCATTCACCGCGGGATCGTCAGCTCCATCCCCGCGCTGCTCGACGTCCCGTTCATTTCAGACAAGAGTGTAGCGCCGCCGGTGCAGCCACTGGCGATGACCATATATGTGGATAACTTTCTCGCCTTGGGTACAGATCCCGAGGCCGTTTCCCGCGCAGTGAAGCTCGTCAACGCAGCCTTGACGTCCAGAGGGTTACCCACTCATGAGGTCTGTATGTGTGATCATAATGCCGACATCCTGGGGTGGGAGATTCGAGGGCGAGAGAGAGAGATTCGTCCAAAGAGATCAAGGCTGTGGAGACTTCGCATGGCGCTCGATTGTCTTACAAGCAAGGCCGTGGTGAGTCCAAAAGAAGTTGAGAAAGTGTTGGGCCATTGTACCTTTGTAGCACTTCTTTGCCGTGAGCATTTGTCGATCTTCAGGTCCGTCTATGCCTTTATTCGGCGGCTGGGCCACTGTACCGCGGTCCCTCTCTGGGAGTCCGTCCGTTGGGAGTTAAATACGTTCTCGAGTTTGCTGTGTCTGATTTCCAGGAAGCTGCAGGTGTCATGGAGTTCTAAGGTGATGTGCACGGACGCGTCCTTTTGGGGCTTCGGACTGGTCTGCAAGGACCTCGACAAGGACCTCGTGGGCTCGATGGGCTGTTTCTCCGAACGGTGGCGCTTCTTGGGCGACAACAAGGTGCTCTCCAGGGCTTGGGCTGCAGGCTCCAATGACGACGGGATCATGACAAAGCCTCTAGAGAGCTCCAAGGACTTCCAGCAGTTCGTGGGGGATGAGGAGGCTAACAACGAGGCCCGCACGCGGGCCGCTGGACGTCTTCCCGAAGCGGTTCGTGAGGAAGGTTGGGCGGTGGTGGGCTCGCACAAGTGGGGATCTCCGCCTGACAACATCGTGGAGGGGGAAGCCAGGGCTATCGCTTTTGGGGTAAAGCACATCTGCAGATCCACGAAGGCCTTTGACTGTCACCACCTCCTGCTCTCCGACTCCCTCTCGTCCGTCTTGGCTCTGGGCAAGGGCCGATCCTCGGCCCCCGGCGTCAGCGGGGCGCTGCGCTCCGTGGCAGAACATGTCGCGGCGACGGGGCTCCGGCTCAGTGCCCGCTGGCTGCCTAGTGAGTGGAACTTTGCCGACGGACCTTCGCGAGGGCTGCGGCACGCTGGTTACGCTCGTGCTGGAAACGGCCAGGCTGGAGCGTCGCCAGGCGGCGGCCCAGGCGGAGGAGGCCCGCTCGGTCCAGCGGATCCGCTCAGTGCCGCCGAGCCGGGCGACGTCAGCACCGTCGCTTCGGAGGCCTCTCTGCGTCGCCCTGGCTGGCTCGCCACCGCTCTTCAAGGCGCAGGCTACGCCTGCGGCCGACGTGGTGGAGCGGCGGAAGCTGGCCCGGGGCGGAGCCAAGCTGGCCGAAGCGGAGACGCTGGACGTACCACAGCTGAGCACAGCGTGGACGCAGACAGTGACGTCCAGGTTCCAGCAGGTGGGCGCCGAGGTCAACGACTGGCTGGCAGAGCAAGGGTTACATACGCAGCCGACGCTCTCCCTCGACGGCCAGAGAGGGATCCCGCTGGCTCCCGAGGCTGCCGCCGAGCTGGACGGCAGACTCGCGGGGAGGATGTTGGGGCAGTACCTGGAGGGCGTCGACCACTGGCGCGGAGTTCAAATGCTGGCCGCCCTACAATGGTGCGACCCGCGTCTCAGCCGCGAATGGGCCCTGGTGCTATATCCACTCGACGGCGAGGAGTCGCGGCCCTGCGAGACGGCAGAGTTCGACGAGAGCCCCGTGCTGGACCGCCGCAGCGTGCTCCGCGAGGTTCTCTTAGGGAGGCTCGCTGCCCTGCAGTGCCAGGCTCGCTGACTGTGAGAGTTTTCCTAGAGATCTTTTCAGGCTCTGGGCGCCTCGCACGAGCGATGGCGCGAAAGGGGTATCATGTGCTAGCGTGGGACATTAAGCACGGGCCCTTGTTTGATCTCCGTGACGTTTCGAGGCAACGTCTGATTCGGGGCTGGATCCAAGCCGGGCTTATTTTAGGTGTGCATCTGGGAACGCCGTGTGGCAGCTGGTCGCGCGCCAGAGATATCCAACCTGGTCCTCCCCGTCTCCGCTCCGACGCGTGTGTCGTAGGCCTGCCCAACTTGATACCGTCGGCACAAGCCGCTGTAGATGTTGGAAATCAGATGATGCGCTTCAGTGTTTCGGTTCTAACCGTCGCCCGCCGCATGCAGGTGCCGTGTTCGATGGAAAACCCGTCCACCTCTCGACTTTGGCTCGCGCCGCCAGTCGCCTCGCTTGTCAGATCCACGCGATGGTCTTTCGTCAGCACAGACTTCTGCCAGTGGGGCACTCCTTGGCGGAAGCGCACGCGCTTTTTAGGAACTTACATTGATTTGACCTCCTTGGTGAAGCTGTGCCAGCGCACTCAAGGCTGCTGCAGTCGTACTGGACTGCCCCACCAAGGTTTGGAGGGGCGTGCGCCCGATCGACGGTTCTGGACCGCCGTAGCCGAGGCGTATCCTGCCCGCCTGTGTCAGCAGTTGGCCCGCGCATTCGATGAGGCTATCGTGTGCCGTAAGGTCTCAGCCATGGCGTCCAAATTGTCAATGTAACCCTCAATAAGTAAATGATGACGGCCTTGCGGCCATTCGACTTCGTGTTTTTTGGCACGGTCCGTTTTGGCGTGTGCTAACCTCGAGGTGCAAGCTTCTGTCGCACGCGTCGCTGGTGGCGAGCTCTCTTCCAGAAAAAGTCGGCGTGCCTTGAAGATCGAGGCGCTCCGCGCATGGCAGGTCCAGACAGCTGGGGGTACAGTTCAGTGTTCCACACGTCTTTGAATCCCTAGTTGTCGCTGCCCTGCCGTCCATCCATGGCTGTTTGCTCAAAGTCTCCCTCCCTCCCTCCCCTTTTCTCTTTTCAAATAATCTGTCCACGTTTCCTGGCCAGCTGTTGGCGTGTGCTAACCTCGAGGTGCAAGCTTCTGTCGCACGCGTCGCTGGTGGCGAGCTCTCTTCCAGAAAAAGTCGGCGTGCCTTGAAGATCGAGGCGCTCCGCGCATGGCAGGTCCAGACAGCTGGGGTACATATTCGTATTCACTCGTAGTCAGAGACGCCCAAGTTCAGACATGCCCCTGATCAGGCGCAGTCAAACTCAGACTATGTGACGTTCATGCTGAATCATTTTCAGTCTCTGCTACTCCTCAGACCCGCTCAACATTTAGAATATTTTCTTCACCAACAGCCCCACTCCCTACTCAAGCTTAGGGGGGTGGAACGTTTCATTTCAGAGCCTCGATCACTGAAAAGTACGTATGACTCTTGACCGTCAGGACCGACGATGATCGCGACATGATCAACAGAGAACACGTAGGAGGCATGGCAGTCGAGTCTCCCAGGGGAGAGCCGCAAGGGGGTATTGCATGGACCCGTCTGCACTGGACCTCTCAGGCAGATCTTTTGGATGCGGCCTTGCTTTTCCGAAACCTCCTGATCATGGCGCCGGGGCTTCCCATTGACATTCATGGGGTACCGCATAGGCCCGCGCGGACCTAGACTGCCGGGAACTTTCCAGCATAATAAGAGCCTTCTTGTAATGGGGAGGCAGTCATGTTTCGCTTTTGCCCCATGATCATCGCATGTAGCAGGAAGTGTGCTTCGGCCTGGTCGCCAGGGGGCTGCACCGGCGTGTTCGCATCGCGGTGTAGCAGGCATGGCACTCGGGTATGAGGGAACCTCCGGGGGGTATTGCACGGGTCTGTCCGTACCCTGATCGTTTGGAATTCTACCGCGTTGGAGGGGATACGCGTATCCGTCTGCAAAGCCCCCGAACTATGGCGATGTAGCAGGCACGGTTTTTGAGCTCCAAAGTTTTAGCAATAGCGTTCAAAGCCAACCAAAACTGTTCCAACGCCTTCCGGGTGCGTTTCGGATGCCTTTTGGGTGCCCTCGGGGTGCTCACCGGAGGCGTTCCAGGGCCAAGGGCCAAAACAGAGACTCAAGGGAGACACCAGGGAGATACAAGGGAGTTATTGTGCGTTCAGCGTCCTCCGAATGCACGGGGGAGCCCTTTGCAGTTGCCTCGCGGGTGCCTCGCGGGTGCCTTTCGGGAACGTTTTCGGGTGCCTTCGCGGTGCTTAATGGGTGCCCTCGGTGAGCACCCTGAGAGCACGCGCAAGGTTGCCGAAAAAACGCCCGAACGGCACCAAAGGCACCCAGAGGACACCCAAAAGGCACCGGAAAAGTGTTGCACGCGCTCTTGAAATTTACAAATGCGCCTTTCGGGTGCTCTCGAGGTCTCTCGTCCGTGGCGGGGCGGGCCAGGTGTTCCGCGAGTCAGAGGAAGGCGAGTTGAGACAACGATGATTGGCCCTCCGTGGGTGTTCTTCGTCGCAGTGGCTGGATGCAGGTTGGGAAATTGCAGCGCTGGGACCCCGGGAGGAGTCCTGGGACCGATTTTGAGCCACCGCTGCCTCAACTTGCCCTGCTCCGAGCGGCAGGAGGGGCGAGTCTTTCGCGTGGGTTTGAGTCTGGTGGTTCCTTGGCTGTGAGCATGGATGCGCGGCCCACTTGCCTCTCGCCATTGTCTCATTGAAGAGGCGAGATCATCATCTCCACCAGTATCACCATTATCACCTTTGTTGTAATCATCAATTCCCGTCGTCGTCATCGTTTCAGTTTCCGAGTACTTGCTCATCAATCTCGCCCGTATCCGCCTCCCCCTGTGTCATTTCACTCGATTCGTGTGCCAATGGGCGTACCGATAGATGGTCAAGGTCGGCGTGGCATCTGGCGTTCGGCGCTTACGTTGTCGGCAGATCCCATGCTCGTCCTGCACCCTTCACCTTGTCATGCCATCGGTTGCCGTGCTCCTGATGCGCCCTCCAGGCGAAAAGGCAAAGGGCGCGACAGGGACCGCGACCGCGACAGGAGGAGAGACAGAGACGACGACGACAAAGGCCGCGGGGCCAGCACAACAAATGGCCTGCGCCCGCCCAGTTCCGAGAGAGGCAAGAGGAAGAGAGACGTGGAGAGGCGAGGAGAGGAGGCGGAACGCAGGACGGCGGTAGGGTGTTTAGGTGTTCGATGACGGACCCCAGGAGCGATGGGCAACAAGGGGTCCATGAACAAACACGTAAGGGTGAGGCGAGTCGGAGTGGACGGAGGAGGAGGAGGAGGAGGCGGAGGAGGAGGAGGTGTAGGAGGAAGGAGGAGGAGGGAGGAGGAGGAGGAGGAGGAGGAGGAAGAGGAAAGAAGCTCATCTGCCCTTTCCTGACATGTGCGAGAGCTGCTGGCCCTCGGGGCCGCGGGCCCCCTCCCGCCCCCCAGCTGGGGCGGCCGGCCTGCGCGGAGCGCCCCCAGCCCCGCCAGGAGCCTCCTGGGGAGGGCGTGTTCCGCGCGCCCTTCTGGGGGCTCGAGCGCGGCGTGCCCTTCCAACGCCAGCGCCGGCAGTAGATCAGAGGGTAAAAAGGCACCCATACCGCCACCCTTCGCCCGTTTTCCCCTTGTCTGGCCTCCTGGGAGGCCCTCGTCGCCACCGCCGGAGTCGCCTCGAAATTCTGGTCAGAACGCACCCTGATAGAGGTCCGGGGAGTAGCGGTAGCGGTACTTTTCGGTTTCCCCGTAAACGCATCAGTTCGAGGGAACAGAGACGATGACCTTGGCCCTCTTTCTCCTCCTCCTCCTCCTCCTCCTCCTCCTCCTCCTCCTTATCCTTCCTCCTCCCTCTCCCTCCTTCTCCAGGTCCCCTTCCTCGTCCTTCCTGCTCCCCCTCGTGTGTCATGTTCCCCCTTGCCAGGCACTTCTCCGTGGCACGTGGTGGCGCAGCCATGCGGTGGTGATCCGCAGTGCTCACACATCGTGGTGTTATCGCCGCCCGAGAGAAAAAACTCCTCCGCCTTCTGCAGTTGCGGGCCGTAGTTGCTGATATGTTCGTTGCGTGCTGCCGCCTCTGCAAGCCGTCTCTTCCATTTTGGGTGTACTGGCCTATCCTCGATGTGAGGCCCGTCCCCGGCGAATCTTGTTCTTGCCAGTTCAGCTTGCCTGTTTCTGTTGCCAGAAATCGGCCACGTTCGCAGGACAGCCCTGCAGATAGTAGGCTTTGTTGACGGCGCGCTTGGCGAGGCTGGTTGCGTGAATCGCTGCTGTCCGCTCCCATCTTCTCCCTCCGCCGATAGGATGGCTTTGATGACGAGACCTCAGAGAGAGGGACGAGTGTGGGCTCCATCCGGTCCCTCTCCCATCTTCTCCCTCCGCTCCCATCTTCTCCCTCCGCTCCCATCCGGTCAGCTCTCTGAGGTCCCTCTCCCATCTTCTCCCTCCGCTCCCATCTTCTCCCTCCCCAAAAAAAGATAACTGCGAAGGCCTCACGGCTGGTGCCGCCGACCCTGAAGACGACGAAGGGGGAGCAGGAGGAGGAGGCAGAGGAGGTGCCCCCCCCCCCTCGGGTATCCGGGTGGGACCCCCTCCCCCCTCGCGGGGGAGGAGGTAAATTGGAAGGGGGTTCCCTTCGAGTAACTGCGACGTTGCTCAGATTGGCTTCCCCCCCGCGTCGCGGCCGCTCCCCTCCCCCGAAGGGAGCTGCCCGGGTGCTCTCCTCCCCCCGGGTATCCGGGTGCCTCCCCGCCCCCCCGGGGGAGGGGATCAAAGGGAAGGGGCTTCCCTTTGAGTAACTACGACGTTGCTCAGATTGGCTCCCCCCCCGCGTCACGGCCGCTCCCCCCCCCCGAAGGGAGTTGCCTAGGTGATTCCCCCCCCGCCCCCTCCGGTACGGGTGCCTCCCCCCCCCCCCCGGGGGAGGGGATAAAAGGGAAGGGGTTTCCGATCGAGTAACTGCGACGTTGCTCAGATTGGTTTCCCCCCCGTGTCGCGGCCGCTCCCTTCGCCCGGAGGGAGCAGATTGGTTTCCCCCCAGGGTCGCGGCCGCTCCCCTCGCCCGGGGGAGTCGACCACTCCCCCTCGTGGAGCCGACGTGACGATCTCGTGGGCAGCTCCCCTCCTTCGAGTGGAGCCGACCACCCCTCTTGGAGCCGAGGTGGCGACCTCGCGGGCAGTGTGGGCGACGACGACGACGACGACGACGACCCACGCAAGATGACGAGATCAGGATACGTCTTCCACACGCCGACAGGGTCGGCCACGTTCGCAGGACAATCCTGCGGGTTGCACGATTTGTTGACGGCGCGTTTGGCGAGGCTAGTTGCGTGAATCGTTGCTGTCCACTCCCATCTTCTCCCTCCGCCGATAGGATGCGTTTGATGACCCTGACCAAGATGTCGCGGCATCTTGTCGACGCCGATTTGTGTCGTGGTCCATGCCAGTCATCGCCGATCCGCGAGGATGGTCCACGAATCTGGCGTTGACCGGGATGTACGCTGACCGCGATCGACCCGTCTCTGCCGCGCTCAGTCTTGGTCATGGCCCCCTTTGTCTTCTCCTCCAGCAGTGGCGCGACCGTGTGTCTTCGCATGCTCGCGCCCTCCGCCCTCTCTTTCGGCCGCGCCCTCCGCCTCTGTTCCCCCCTCCTGCTGGGCGGCACAATTCGCCTTGACGGCACCCCCTTTTAGGCCTTCCCGCTAGCGCAGACGACCCTCAGCACTCGACGCTCGACGCTCGATGACGACGACGACGACGACGACGACGACGACGACGACGACGACGCGACGACGACGACGAAGACGACGACGAAGACGACGAAGACGACGAAGCCGACGACGACGACGCAGGAAGTGTCTTCGTGTGGGCCTGAAGCCGCTTGCGCATCGCTCGCCCGCCGGCCTCTAGGCTGTGGGGCCGTTGGGCTCTTTCCGCGTTTCCTCCGCGGCGGCCCTCCTCTTCCCTACTCGCCTTAACTCGGGCCTGTCCCTCTACAGGGGGGGTATTCAAAAATAGTCAAAACATAGTATGGGAGCGATCTTTCTATTATTTTCTGACATTTTAGATTCTCCGTAATGGCTTCGCCCCCTGCCGCCAGCCTCCTTTTCTCGGATAGTGGTAATGCAAGAGCGAAATCATGAGACCTTGGCGCCGACGTGATGAAGCGTCGGGACCTCACGCGAAGACGATGGGTAATCGGCAAGACATATTGAGATTATGATGATATTGTTGAATTCGGTATTGTATTTCGAGCTTGCTCGCGTATGCTGTACAAAATCTGTTCCACGAAGTATTGAAATGTTGCAAATATACATATACGTGTTTTGACCCTGACCCCGCCGATCTGCACGAGGAGCGCCATTGAATTTCAGAAATGTGGCAAATCCCTTGTGTTTTTGGACCCTGACCCCGCCGATGTGCGTCAGGTGCGCCGCCGAATTTCAGACAGGTGGCAAATCCTTTGTGTTTTTGGACCCTGACCCCGGCGATCTGCGCGAGGGGCACCGCCGAATTTCAGAAATGTGACAAATCCTTAGTGGTGTTGGGCCCCGACCCCGCCGATCTGCGTGAGAGGCGCCACTGGGTTTCAGACATGTGGCAAATCCTTTGTGTTTTTGGGCCCTGACCCCGCCGATCTGCGCGAGGGGCCCCGCCGAATTTCAGGAATGTGGCAACTCTCTGCTGTTTTTGGACCCTGACCCCGGCGATCTGCGTGAGGTGTGCCGCCGAATTTCAGACATGTAGCAAATCTTGTGTTTTTTGTTGTTTTGCCCTGGCCTTGCCGATCTGCGTGAGGGGTGCCGCCAAATTTCAGAAATGTGGCAAATCCTTCTTCGACCCCTCCAGAGTTCCCGATTACCCCCCCACAAGACGCTACTAATCAGGGCACTTTTCGGTTCTCCCCCCTCGCGCGGTCCATCCAGAAGGAACAGCAAGCAGCAAGAAGCAGAACTGTAACAGTGGAAATTGGGAGCTGGAACTGGCGCAGGCAGCAGCAAACCCTCGCCCTACAGCCCGGTGGCCCCGCAAAGGTGCTTGCGGATGTTTTGATTATGCTTTACTTTCCCTCCAAAATCTGCCTGTCGGGGGGCATGCCCGGCCTAAGAGTCGCCCCTTGCGCCCTTGGCCCTTGGCTGGCACGGCCTGCCGCAGCGGAAAGAGGCGCTCGTCTGATCCTCGCCGCCTCCTGCTCCGCATTCCTCTCGTTCGCCAAGCGCGTTTCACTACTCGCAACGTGCCTACTCGCAAACGTCTGAAAAGATATGTTTGCCTGGATGGAAGTATATCGTGAATCCCCCGCGGCGGACCGTGGCCATTTGCGAGTAGTTCCTGCACGAGTAGTTGAGCGCGCTTGTCCACTCATTGTGCGCTCCGCGGAAGCAGGATACCGCGGCCAGTTGTGCACATACGGGCAGAATCAGCCCGGCAGCAAGTTACGAATCGAACGTAGCAACAGCAGCCATGCAAGGAACAGGCGGCGCAGGCAACCCTCGCCCCCCTATTTCCCGCAGTCCTCTTTTCCTGTCCGCGCCTTTTCCTATGTTCCTTCCGACCCACGCTTGCGAATGATGGTAATGGTGATGGTGATGACCATGGTGATGACCATGATGATGATGATGCTGATGCTGATGCTGATGATTATTATTATTATGCTGCTGATGATGGTTATGATGCTGATGCTGATGCTGCTGCTGATGCTGATGCTGCTGATGATAATGGTGATGGTGCTGTTGTTGATGATGATGATGATGATGGTGTTGATGATGGTAATGGTAATGGTGATGATGATGCTGAGGACGATGATGCTGATGATGCTGATGATGCTGATGATGATGATGGTGATGGTAATGAGGATGATCATGGTGATGACGGTGACGATGAGGATGATGATGCGGATGGTGATGTTGATGCTGATATTGATGCTGATATTGATGTTGATGATGCCTCTGATTATTATGATAATGATGGTGATACTCATGATGCTTATGAGTATGATTGTAGCCATGATGAAGATGGTAACGATGCGGAGGAGGATGGCCATGATGAGGATCTCGATGATGATGCTGACGGCAAGGATGACTGTGAGGATGCGTATACTGATAATGTTGTTGATGCTGATGATGTTGCTCATGCTGATGATGATGCTCACGATGATGGCTATGGCGATTATGGTGATATTAATACCTATGATATTGATGAGGATACTGCTAGTGGTGGCGAGGATGACGATGCTTATGCTCATGCTGGTGCTGTTGTTGATGCTGAACATGAGGATGAGGATGGCGAAGACGATGAGGATGGCGATGCTGATGGTGATGATGATGATGAGTATGCTGCTGATGCTGATGATGAAGATGGTGATGAAGATGGTGCTGATGATGGTGATGGTGATGGCGATGGTGATGATGCTGATGCTGATGCTGATGCTGATGATGTTGCTGATGATGATGATTATATGATGTATGATGATGCTTGCGATAATGATGATGATGATGATGATGATGATGATGATGATGATGATGATGATGATGATGCCGGTGATGGTGATGGTGATGGTGATGGTGATGATGGTGATGCTGTTGATGTTGATGTTGATGTTGATGTTGATGCTGATGTTGATGTTGATGGTGGGGTTGGTGGTGATGATGCTGATGGTGATGGTGATGGTAATGATGATGGTGGTGGTAATGCTGGCCACTACAGTAATCACGACGATGAGGATGAGGATGAGGATTAGGATGAGGATGAGGAGGATGAGGATGAGGATGAGGATAATGCTGGTGATACTGATGATGCTTATGAGTATGATTGTAGTCATGATGAAGTTTTTAACGATTCGGAGGAGGATGACCATGATGATGATCTCGATGATGATGCCGACGACAAGGATGATTGTGAGGATGCGTATACTGATAATGGTGTTGATGCTGATGATGCTGCTGATGCTGATGATGGTGCTCACGATGATGGCTATGGTGATGATGGTGATATGAATAACGATGATAGTGATGAGGATACTGCTAGTGCTGGTGATGATGACGATGAATATGCTCATGCTGAACGTGAGGATGAGGATGACGAAGACGATGAGGATGTCGATGATGATGGTGATGATGTTGATTATTATGCTGCTGATGCTGATGATGAAGATGTTGATGAGGATGTTGCTGATGATGGTGATGGTGATGGCGATGGTGATGATGCTGATGATGATGATGCAGATGATGCTGCTGATCATGATGATTATATTGATGATGATGAGTGTGATCATGATCATGATGATGATGATGATGATGATGATGATGATGGTGGTGATGTTGTTGTTGATGGTGGTGTCGGTGGTGGTGATGCTGATGGTGATGGTGATGGTGATGATGGTGGTGGTGGTGATGATGACCACTATGACAATCACGAAGATGAGGATGAGTATGAGGATTAGGATGAGGAGGAGGAGGAGGAGGGGGAGGAGTCGGAGTGAGATGCGAAGGAGATAAGCCATTAGAGGGCGGAGGGAGGGAGAAGGAGGACGACGGGGGAAGAATCTTGAGACCGCCACCCCCGCAAGCGCGCCCGCTTGGAGGCAAAGGGAAGCGGAGCAGAAAGGGCAAGAGAGACCGTCGCGGACGGGACGGCGACCGTGGAGATTGGCAGGGGCCGATGATAGACGGCGCCACCGGAGCCAACACGATAGAGGTCTCCGCCCCCTCCGGGCGGCGCGCCGCGCCGTCTTCTCACCCTCCTCCCCACCCTCGCCGTCGTCCTTCTCCTCGCCCTCGTCCTCCTCCTCCTCCACTTCCTCGTCCCCCTCCGTGTCCTCTTCCTCCTCTGTCTCTCTTCCTCCCCCTCCTCCCGGCACCATCGTTCTCGACTGTGCGCCTCGGACTGCGCGTGCGCGTCTCCTCTGTCCCTCCTCATCCTCAGCCTCCTTTCCCTGATTGCCCTCGTCTTCGTCGTTCTCGTCGTCTCGGCGGCGATGGAGGGGGGGGGAGAGAGAAAGAGAAGGCCTCCTCAGAAGGCCGCGGGGCTTCTCAGAAGCCCTCTGACCTTCTGAGAAGTGTCTTGTGTCCTCGGGAGAACATAGAGAACTTTTCCGGAAGTCCGGAGGACTTCGGAGCCTCCAGGGAAGGCTCGCCCCCTCTCACTTCCTCCCCGTTGCTGGCCGCCGATCCCCCCCCCCTCCTCCTGCACGTCCTCTTCCTCCTCGCCCTCGCCCCCCTCTCCTCTTCCTCCTTGTCCTCCTCTTCCTCCCCTTCCTCCTCTTCCTCCTCTTCCTCGTCCTCGTCCTCCTCCTCCCCTTCCTCCTCGTCCTTGTCCTCCTCCTCCCCTTCCTCCCCTTCCTCCTTCTCCTCGCCTTTGCACCCCTTCTGCTCCGCCCGCCCCTCTCCTCCGTGCTCCTCTCCCGCCCTGCACCTCCCTCCACCTCCTCGGCCTCGGCTGCCACCGGAGGCCACGGGCAGCGCAGGGGGAAAGAGCACCAACGGACTGCGGGAGTTGGGCCACCCAGCTGTGCCTCGCCCTCCTGCCTCGAGTCCAGGGAGTCCAGTGCGGACCTCTGGAAGCTACCAGTACCCTGATCCTGAGGCCGGTCTCGTTCTCGGCCCCGCCCCCCGGAGGCCCGCTCGCCGGTCGTGTGGGTTTCGTGCCGTAGTTCCGCTGGTGCGCGCGGAGTGTGTGCCGCAACGCTGCTGGAGAGCTTACGCTGAACATATGCCGCGCTCACCCGAGTGGAATTTCCATCTTCTCGCACAAGTGGTCTGCTTCGCTCCGCTCTGCTTTCTTTCCTTATCATCCTCTGTTGGCCCCTCTTCTTGCTCGCGGGGCCCTTCCCCCCAGTTTGGCTACACGCTCGCCGCTCGAGCGCTCGTTTGCTCCGCCCGCCTCTGCTGCCTGAGGGGGAGATCCTCCTACCACACGCCTCGGGCTCGTCTCGAGAAGCGCACTGGCGCGAAGCCCAGGAGGGTGGGAAGAGGGGGGGGGGATACTTGCAGGGTGGAAGTTTGCGGGGAGGGACGCGTGGGAGGAGTAGGGTTTGATGAGTAGGGGGAAGGAGGAGGAAGATGAGGAGGAGGAGGGTGGGGGGGAGCTGAGGGGATGGGGATGGAGGGGGAAGCAGGGAGGAGGAGGAGGATGAGGAGGAGGAGGAAGAGGAGGAGCAGGAGGAGGAGGAGGACGGGGTGGAAGCAGGGAGCAGGAGGAGGAAGCAGGGAGGAGGAAAGGAGGAGGAGAAGGAGGAGGAGCAGGGCGTGGTGCTGACCCTGATCAGCCCGCTCCCGAGGGAAGGCAAGATCGACGCGCACCGCGCCGCGTCTGGCATCCTCGCCCCTCGCGCCCCTGCAGGAAACTTTTTTGGTCTGCGGGTCGGGAGCGGGCCCCTTCCAGGCAAGAGCTCAACGGGACGCGGGCAGCCCTGATTGGGGAGACAGGGCGCGGGCGGGCGGGGCCTCAGGCGGCAGGAGGGCTCAGAAAACAGGCGGTGCCCCCCTGCAGGAAACAAGCAATGGCACAGACATAAACTTTTGGAGGTCCGCGGGGATTTCTCAGATCGGCGTTGGAAGACCCCTGGCGTCATGACTGCACGGTCGTGACCCATTTCCCGCGACTAAATTCTCAACCTGAACCGTTCCTTGACGGTCCCGAGGCCTTTTAGGGCCCCCCGGAGGCCAAAAGCCCCCCTCTGTCGTGTTTTTCCTGGCTCGAGGGGGTCGGGGGCCCCTGCTCTCCCGCTTGCGGCGGGCAACTCTCCACTCGCCGAGTCGGGCGGGGGGCCCCGAGGTGGGCCAGAGGCGCCGGAAGCCCCTGGCGGCGCCTCCGGCGCCGATCCCAATGAAGTCCGAGCGGGCCTCCCACAGTGCTGTGCTTCTGAGATGTGCTGCTCCCCCTTTCCCATGCCTCCTTGCTGCGTCGGGTCCCTTCCCACTCGCCGCGACGGGCCGGGGGGCCCAGGGGCTGGGCCGGAGGCCCGAGGTCGCCCCGGGAGTTCGTCGTGGGTTTCCTCCTCCTCGTCGTCGTCCTCGTCGTCGTTGGGCCCCGTGCCGCGGCGCGCCGAGTCGGGCGGGTGCCAAGGGCCAGAGAGCGCCCCAGGAAGGTCGGGCGGCGTGCGGGCGGAGGGGTGGGCGCGCACGATCGAGCAGCGGTGCTGGGAGGGGAGCAGGCGCTAACCCTTGCTCCTCCTCCTCCTCCTCCTCCTCCTCCTCCTCCTCCTCCTCCTCCTCTGGTGCCTCCTTCTCCTTCGGGCGGGCCGTTTGCAAAGTGTGGCTCTCACCTCAGTGCCGCGCACATTCAGCGTGAAGCTTTACGATAGACTCTCGGACGGAAGGCGGGTCGTTTTCAAAATGTTGTTCTCGCCTCCAAGCCGCGCATATTCGTGTTTTGAGTGTGCAACAGTCTGACGGATGGTGGGCGGGCCGTTTTCAAAATATGGCTCTCGCTCTAGCGCCGCGCTGAATCGTTTTTTGGTAATATGTTAAGCGTGCAGCAGTTTCAATGTAAAGGGCGGTTCTTGTTCAAATTGTGGATCTCGCTTTAGCGCCGCGCTCGTTCGTTTCGGAAGTTGGCAACAGTTTCAAGGATTCGCATAGTCGAAGTCCCGAGGAATGGAGTTTGGCAAGATTTAGGAATGTCAGAACACAGCAGTCATGTTGACTCGCGGTGTTGAAATCCCAGGAGCGACGTTCCGTTCTGGCACGAATTAGGGTTGTCAGGGCTTAACCGTTCCGTTGACTCGCGACGATGAAGTCCCAGGAAATGCGTCTCCGTGCGATTGAGGATTCTCAAACGTTTGTTTTCCAATGGGGCATTTCCCGCAATGAAGAGAAGCTCTTGTAGGACCCTATGAAAACGATACTTGGAATGAGGGCGTATTGTAACATCGCTGATGCGTCCTGGGTTTACACTGGTTCTCCCTATCCTCCTCCTCCTCCTCCTCCTCCTCCTCCTCCTCCTCCTCCTCCTCCTCCTCCTCATCATCATCATCATCATCATCATCATCATCATCATCATCATCCTTCCCCCTGCTCCCCCCTCCCCTCTTCTACTCCTCCTCCTCCTCCTCCTCCCCGTCATCCAGAAGCGCGCGCCAAGCCCCCCAGGTCAAGTGGAAGCCGCCTGGGTGGAAGGAAGGCGACACCCCAGCGCACCTTCGCCCCCTCGGACTGCAACGTCCGCAGGGGCCGTCATGGGAAGCGTCGCCGTGCTTGGTTCCGAGCGCTTCTCCGCTCGGCCTGGCGAATTCTCGATCGCATCGCGCTGGGAGGCTGCCCCACGTTGGGCGCTCTCCTCGGGGAGGATCCGTTTTCTCAGGCTGCCCCGCGTCTTCCTCGCCTTCGGCGCCACCACCCCTTCCCCCCCGCACACGCAGCCAGTGCCCCGGAACATCCAGCGCCTTGTGCTAATATCTGCTCGGCTGGGCTGCCTCGGCTGAGCTCTTGCGCACGCGTGCCCTGGGAGGTCAAATTCTCCTGGGAGGTCGAATTCTGACTTTACCCTGGTCCGAAATCTGGCTGCAATCCTGTATCATCCCGCTCAATCCGGCTCAATCCCGCTCCATCTGGCCTAGTTCCGCTCAGTTCGCGGCCTTTTCCGCCGTAGCAGTCCCCCAGTGGAGCTCAATCCGCCTTAATCCTTCCAGCGACGACCTCCCAGTAGTTGCCTCCTAACTTTCGTCGCCCCCATCCCGTCCCCCATCATCTTCTCTTCCACCTCTCCCCCGCCCGTCCCCCCGCGTTTCGCCCTCTCCCCCCGCCTCCCCGCCTATCGGCTGCGTTCTCACCCTCAGTACTCGTCCTCCCTGTCCGCGCTGCCGCTTTTGCATCTCCGCGTGCATCAGCGCTGTTGCTTGGAGCTGGCTGGGGTCTGAGGTGGCCCACCTTTGGCTCTGGCCAGAAAGGGCTTGGCATCGCTCGGGCGTGTGCATGTTTTGGGCTGGCGAGGGTCATTGAGGAGTAACTTGCGACATCTTGCGATAAAAAAACCAAAGCACGATACCAACAAATGCACACGGGATGGACGTCCGAGCGATGGCAAGCACTGGCTCCGGCCAGAGAGGGCCAGGCATCGCTCGGACGTGTTTTTTTTGTTGGCGAGGACCATCGAGGAGCATCCTGGATCCTCTTGCACGAAAAGAAGCACGCGCGAAACCGAAGCACGCACGTGGAATGGGCGTCCGAACGGTGGCAGGAGGAGGCAAAGGGGGATCTTGTTTAACATGGGGGATCGCTTTCATAATTCAGTTTCCCCAAAATTGGTTTTCCGTCGGATCTACAAAACAGCGTAATCTTGTTCATGGGTTCGACGAACAGTCCAAGTTTGGGGTAACTCAACTCTGCAGCCGATCCCTACTCGATGCTTCGCCCTCCTGGAACCTCCAGGGGGATTCGCGGCGCCGCGGCTGGACGCGGCTCGAACAACAACAGTGGTGCGTCTGGATTTCCTGGGAGGGGGGTCCAGGGTATCGATGTTGAACGGATTGGGCCTCCTCTCCTCCCCTCCTGACCAATTCTTGAGGGGTGGGCAGTCGACACCACGGCGGCCCTTCCTGTCGTTTCTCTTGTCCCTCTTGGGGAGACCTCCTTGGGGCGTCTCGGGGCCACGGCTGGACGCGGCTCGACGAACAGATTGGTGCGTCTGGATCCCGAGAGGGGTCCAGGGACCGACCTTGAGCGGATTGGGCCTCGTCTCCTCCCCTCTCGATTTAAGGGCCTGGCCTTCTATAGGGGGAATATCCAAACATAGTTTTAAAACAAATAGTCAGGGGACTATTTTTTGCAGTATGTCTTGACAATGTTTGAATATGTTTTTGGTATTCTTTATGTTTCGTCAAACATCCCCCTGTAGGGGGACGCGCCCGACCTAACTCTCGACCGATGCTGGGGGGGGGACAGTCGAAACAACAGCGGCACTCCCTGTCGTTTCTCTTGTCCCTTTTGGAGAAACCTCCTTTGGGCGTCCTGCCGCCACGCGGCTTAACGCGGCTCGACAAAGAAGAGTGGTGCGTCTGGATTCCCGGGAGGAGGGTCCAGAGACTGATTGATGAACGGATTTGGCCTCATCCTCGGGGGCGGCCAAGAAGGGGGGGGGGAATGATGACTGGGGGGGATTCATGGCGGAGGCCGTGATAACTCCCCATGGCGCGTCTTCTCGCTTCAACACGTCCCAGGCCCCACCCTGGGCCGCGCACGTGCGGCCGGCCCCCCTCTTGGACGACCCACTTCTTGAACGCCCCCGGCATCCTCCCCTCTTGACCGATGCTGGTTGGGCTAATCCAGCTCGGACCCCCTGGCCGCCTCCTCCCCGTTGCCGCTACTGCCCCACAAAGCTTTGCCGGCTTCGTGTCTCCTCTTTCCGTCCTTCCGCCGTCGTGATCGCCGTCCTTCCCCCCGTCTCCCGTCTCATCTTTGCTCAGCTGTATCCGTGCATTCGACAGCCGAAGGGGTGGTTCGAGCCGGGTGGACTGGGCCAGGGATTGCGGCTTGTGGAGCGCGGGCCTGGCGTGGTTGACCACGGATTGTAAACTGGGGAGCGCCAGGGCGCAGCCACTTGCACGGGATTGCGGCTTCGGGGACGCAATTGTGTCATGTAGCCGGGGCTGTTGCTCTGGGAGCGCGAATCTGATGTAACTCGCAAGAGGTTGTGGCCTGGGGAGTGCGAGGCCGGTGAAATTCACGAAGGGTTATGGCCTCGGGAGGGCCTGGGCGTAGTAGTTCTCAAGATTGGCGTCTCTAACTCGCAACCTTGTGATATTCTACGAAGGGGTTGTAGCCCCGGGAGCGCGAATCTGGTGGAATGTATAATGGGCTGTGGCGGCCCAATGTGCGAGGGGCTGCCGCTTGGGAGCGCGAGGGATTGCGGCCTCGTGAGCGCCAAGGCGTAGTAATTGACAAGGGATGCTGACTTCGGTTATCCAAACTGGTAGTATTTTCCGAAAGGGTTGTGGCCTCGGAAGCGCGAATCTGGCGTAATTGAGTGGGGAAATTGGTGTAAATTGCCAGGGGTTGGGCCTCGGTTTGAATTTGGTGTATTTTGCGTGTCTCATGGCACCACAAGAATGTATATTACGCCAGTCAAGTGTATAGACTGGATAATTCTCGGGCCCAGCCCCGCACGCGGACTTCAATACTTACAGACGTTGGAACATTACATGTTGCATCTACATTTACATCGTGGGGACTTGAGCTGTTGCAGGCAAAACAGAGCACCTCATTAGGCCACAAAGCCTGATGCCTCCCAAGTGGCCGACGGATAGGTAGTGGCTGTACCGCCTCGAAGGATGTATTTCTGTGTAGCTTTCGGCTGCGATGACGATGGTGATGGCGATGGCGATGACGATGCAGAATGACGATGGTCATCGTCATCGTTTCAATATTGTATTCCATGAGCTCGATTAAAATCGAATCTCCTCCCCTCACCTGCGTTTCGCTTCTCCTCACTGCCCCTGCCCCGTCGCCGCACCCGCGCGCCACTGCCAGGCGACGAGAAGAAGGAGGGGGAAGAAGAGGAAGACGAGGACGACGATGAGGAAAGCGAGGACGAGGAGGAGGACTCGAGCGCCCGCTCGTCGGGCGCACGCTGCCGCAAGCCGCTGCTGCTGGCGTCTCCGGGACCCGCGGTCCGCTCCAGGCCCCGGCTTGCGAGCTGCGACGAACGTGGGCGTGGTGTGAGGCGAGGAGAGATCGGCAGGATTTTTGCGCTGGCGGCTGGGCAGGGCAATTGCGCTGGCGGCAGAGCAACTGCAGCGGGGATGCCGTCGGAGCGAAGTGTACCAACGGGGAAGACCGGCATTGACACACACATTCTCGAAGGTCCGCACCGGATTCGTTGGATCGGCGCTGGCCCCCCCTGGCAGCGCCTCCAGCGCCGCCGCTGGCGCGCTCGTTGCGCCAGGGCGGGGGCGTTCAGCGCAGATCCAAGAAGCCCGCGCCGGCCTCGGAAAGTGTCTGCTTCCGTTGTTCTTGTTCTCGAAGACTCGTGTGCATCTTGCGCGGCTGCACGACGTCTTTTGCCTGGGGGAGCTCTGGAGGGCGCCGTGGGGACGTGGAGGTGGAAGAGGAACCGCTGGACCCTCTGCGTGTTCCAGGGGATCCGTTGTGAGAGGCGCAGCGCAGATGCATGTGTGATCGAGTCTTCGCCGGAGGTGAAGCGGGCGAGCAGCAGAGGAACAACGGGGGGACAGAAGTGAGGGCGGATGCGGGGCCATGCAGAGCAGATCCACGAACACAGCGGCGGAGGGGGTCCTGAAGTGGCGCTGCCGCTTCGGGGACAGGCGCCATGGGATGCTGCTGCTCGCGCCGGGCGCCGAGGCCTCTCGCTCGCTTCCTCCCTCCCCAGTCTCCCCCTCCCTCTGGGCAGGAACGCCCCCTCCCTGCCCCTCTCTCGCTCTCGCTCTCGCTCTGTCTCTTTTTTTTTTGTTGTTCTCTCTCTCTCTCTCTTTCTGTCTTTTTGTTTCTCCTTCGAACATCCTCAGTGCCAAGCCCCTGTGCTCCCCCAGTTGGGCTGCCACTGGGGGCCCTGGGGGGGGAGGGGGGCGTCTTGGAGCCCTCGCCGTGCCTGCCCCTCGGGGGCGCTTCCCCGGGCCACCCGCCGCCTCGGGGCCACGCGTGGAGCCCCTCGGAGGCACGCGGGAGCCCGACGAGGCGAGGAGGGCGACGAGGAGGAAGGCGAGGAGCGCAGTCAGCCCGCCATCGTGGAGGGAGGCGAGGAGGGAGGGAGGCGAGGAGGGCAGGGAGGCGAGGAGGCGTGGAGGGAGGCGAGGGCGACGAGGAGGGAGGCGAGGAGGGCAGTCAGCCCGTCATCGTGTGGGTGAGCAGCTGCCGGCTGGGGGAGAGGTGCCGATTCCTCTGTCCCTCCCCGGTTTCTCTTCTTGGGGGGCCTTCTGGGAGGCCCTCGTCGTCACCGCTGGATCCGCCTCGGAACTCTAGGCAGACCGCACCCCAGGAGACGTCTGGGGAGTATTTTGCAGTATCGGTACCTTTTGGTTTCCTCAGTGGTGTGATGGTGGTGTTGGCGGCGATGGTGCCTCCTTTCCGCCTTCGCGTTCCCCCTTCTCCCTCATTCTCCTCTCTCTCTCTCTTTCTCGTTCTCTATGTCGCTCCTCGCCCGCCTCCTCGTCGTGTCCCCGCCGCTCTGTTGATTATCCCCTTTTTATGAAATCAGATTCTTCCTTGCGCTCTAGTCCCCCACTCCTTCCCTCCTCTCTCCTCGCCCCTTCGTCCTCCGTATCGTCCTCGCCGCGTTCCTCGTCCGTCGTCTTCCGATCAGTTGTCAATTCCCGCCTCGTCATTCGCCGCATAGGACGAAGAAGACGAGGAAGAGTGGAAAGAGGACGAGTTCACGCTCACGACGTCGACCAACGGGGAGACGAGCGCCGGAAGCATGCAACTGAAGGTGCGCGCAATATTGTGCACTTGCTGTTTGAGAGGAGGAACAGGGGGAGGAAGGGGCAGTGGAAGAAACCGAGGTTAGGAGGCGGGACAGGGAGAGGGATAGGGAGGAAGAGGAGCAGGAGGAGGAGGAGGAGGAGGAGGAGGAGCAGAAGATGGAACAGGAACCCGACGTGTTATGCGTGTGTTGACGTTTCGTTGTGAGCGATAGTTACGCTGTCCCTTTCTCAGCTTGCTGGTGCCTAGCTTGTGGATGAGAGTGTTGAGCCTCGAATTATGTCCCTGGCCTTCGTGGATCTCTGCATCGCGAGGGCTTCCTGCTCAGAACCCACTGCTTCTCCTCCGCCTTCTCCTTACAATCCATGTAGAATCCTGCTCCGCTCAGACCCCCGCGCAGGTGTGGTTGGCAGCAGGCTTCGCAGCCGGCGATACCATCATCATCAAACGGTCAGACGGCACCAGCGAAATCAAGGACTCCAGCATTCCCGTCTCGGCTCCTGAGGGTCTGCAGGGGAGGAGGATAATAAGGAACAGGACAAGGGAGGACGACGAGGACGAGGACGAGGGCCAGGAGGAAGCGAAGGATGACCGGGAAGGGGAAGATGTGAGCGAGTCGGGGCGTGTTTCGTTCCGTTGTGTTACCAGCACGACTTCTCATGCGCTGTTCTGGGTTTTTGTCATCGCTTCTGTCGCGGATGTGCTCTTGGGGATCGAGCGCGCGAATCCCGAAAGCCACCTGGATTCTGGCTCCTGGCACCTCCACATCCTCGTTCCCGCCGGAAGAGGACGAAGCGCATCGTAGCGGATGATGATGATGATGATGATGATGATGATGATGATGATGATGATGATGATGATGATGATGATGATGATGGTGGTGGTGGTGGTGGTGGTGGTGATGGTGATGGTGATGGTGATGGTGATGGTGACAATGATGATGACGATGACGATGATGGTGATAGTGGTGGTGATGGTGATGACGATGTTGATGTTGATGATGATTATGATGATGATGATGACAATGCTGATGATGACAATGATGATGACGATGATGATGACGATGAGGATGATGGTGATGGTGATGACGTTGATGATGATGGTAATGATGTTGATGATGATGATGATGACAATGATGATGATGACGATGATGATGATGATGATGGTGATGATGATGAGACTGATGATGATGTTGATGATGGTGATGATGATAACGATGATGATGCTGATGATACTGATAATGATGATGCTGATGATGATGCCGATGCTAATGATAATGATGAAGCTGCTGATACTGATGATGATGCTGATGTTGATGTTGTTGATGATGGTGATGATGATGATGATGATGATGATGATGATGATGATGATAATAATGATGATGATGATGATGATGATGATGATGATGATGATGATGATGATCATGCTGAAAGGGAAAAAGGGATACGGAGGAGGAGGAGGAGGAGGAGGAGGAGGAGGAGGAGGAACAGGTTCGACGGAGGAGGAGCAGGAGGAGAGAGAACAGGAGGAGGAGGAGGAGGAGCTATCAGGACGAGGTGGGGAAGAAGGCAGACGAGGACGAGGAGGAAGGGAGAGACCGCGGAGTTCGCGGACGAGGAAGAGGAGGACGGGGCGGCAGTCTCAGGCTGGAGGGGGGTGGGACGCGCTCGCTCCTTCTGCACCCTCCCCTCCAGCTCCCTCATCCTTCTCGCTCCTCCTCGCTCCTCGTCCTCTCTTCGGTGGCGAGCGAGGGGGGGAAGTGAGAAGGGGAAGGCCTTCTCGGAAGGCGTTGGAACTTCTCAGAAGCCATCGCGCCTTCTGAGAAGTTGTCCGTGCCTTCGGGGAAGGCTTAGGACACTTCTCAGAAGGCCGGAGGACTTCCGAGCCTTCTGAGAAGGCCCGCCCTTTCTCACTTCTGCCGGGCTCGCCGCCGACCTCTGCCCTCCACAGGAGTGACAATTTCGTGATCTGAGTTGGTTGCGGTCGTCGATGGGAGAGCTCCCCAGGGCCCAGGGCCACCTTGGAATGACACGCATGTCGTGCCGCCCCGTCCCCAATGCGCGCGTGCACGCAGCTGCGTGGTCAGACAAGGTCCGCCTTGCCAGAGTGCGTCGCCCAAGAGGAAGTCACTCCGATCCCTTTGCGATGGGACAGGCCTGGGCGCACGAGTGCGTCTGCGCTTGGCTTCTGGGGACGCCAACTTGCAAGTCTAATCCGCGAAAGGTTTGAACAGAGTTCCTTTATTATATCTGCGGTTGTCATTTGCATTTCGGCACCGATCCTGACCGAGCCCCCTCCTGGGTCAGGGCTCGGTGCATGCGCCCGGCCGCCCCAAGCCCACAGGGCGTGCCCAGGCCTCCTAGATGCGGCCCGAGCAGATGGGGCCAGAGGATCGCGCCGCATCGCCGATGCAGCGGGCGATGCGCCTCATTGTGGAGCCCGATTTTCCCCTACGTCGACGTCGCAGATGCATCGCCGATGCATCGGGCGATGCGGCTCGATGTGGAGCCCGATCTTCCTCCACGCCGGCGGGGAGACAGCGCTCCCGCTCCGCCCATCGGTCTGTCGCATAGCGCATTGTTGCAGTGACCAGTTGATTCAGTTGATGCTTCGCCGCCGCCGCCTCTTCCTCCTCCTCAACTAAAAGACAGAGTACACTGTTATAGTGACCTTTCCCCAGAGTGACCTCGGGTGCGGGCACACCAGAGTCCCCAGATGACTGAACGCGATGCCATAGGAGCGTCTTGCGCACTCGGGTTTGGCCTCCCCGCGGCCCCCGGACGTCGCGCACCAAAGGTCACCCTTGCCCAGGGTCGCTTCATGCGAGTAGCCGACAGCTCCTGTGCGGGTTCTCTATCAGCTGGCGCCCCCTCCCTCGAGGGCGTCCAAGAGTGGGGAGATGACTAAGGGGTGAATCTCATGGCCAGGGACATATGACATCCACCTAGATTTCAGGCCCTCCTTCTCATTTCAATGCGCTCCCTGGCCCCCCTGGTCCGCGCACAGGCCTCGGGCCAGGAGTTGCGAGCCCCCCTCTTGGACGCCCCCCTCTTGGACGCCCCCGACTCTGGTGGCTCGCGCACGGCCACGCGCCGATATGCGGGCCGGCTGGCTGGCTGGCGCGTTGCCGTCATGCTGATCGCTCGCGCACGGGTTTCCGCGCAGAGCGTCACGTCGGAGAAGGGCTAGCCGAGACAACGGCGGCCGTTCCTGGCGTTGCTTGTCCCTCGTGGGCCTCCTGGAGGCCCTGTTCTGGTGTGGCTATGTCGGCCACGCGTTTCGGCTGGAATACTCTGTGCAACAAGGTGCTACACCCTCATTGCAGTCGAAGAGGGTGACCCCATGCAGTTGTTTGACTCCGAATTCCCGTGAGCAGGGTGGCGTCTCCCACAGCCGCCCCTTTGTGCACTTTCTTGCTGGAGAGGAGCTGTTGAGCTCAGAAATGTCAGACTAGAAGGCTTCGAGCCCCCTTCGGAGCTCTCTCTCCCCCCCCCCGCGCGCGCCCGAGACCGTCGCGAGCATAGACATCGTGCAGCCCGAGGCAAAGGAAGAGAAGGAAGAGGTGTCCCCCCCCCCCCGCCTGGCTGTTGGAAGGTCCCTGTGCTCCACCTGCTCCTCGTCGGCCTCCTCAGTCTTCTCCGCCTCGTCCTCCTCCTCCTCCGCCTCCCCCCCCTGCCCTCTCTTCCCCGCCCACCCTCCTCGTCCACCTCCCGCTCCTCCACCGCGTGGGGGGGAATCAGAGAAGAAGGGGGGGGGAGGATTGCAAAAACGAAGGATTGCACGAAGGATTGCAAAAACAAGGATTGTAAAAAACGAAGGATTGCAAAACAACCTTCGTTCAAGTGAGGGCGTTTTTTTGCAATCCTTCGTTCAAGTGGGTTTTTTTTTGCAACCCTTCGTTTTTTTGCAATCCTTCGTTCAAGTGGGTTTTTTGCAATCCTTCGTTCAAGAGGAGGATGAAGAGCTTGATGTGATATGGCGACACGGCGCATGTGCGCATGCACCCCCCTTTGGTGGTGGGGCCGTCAGCCGGGTGCACAGTGACTGGGCAATTGCGGAGCAGAGCGATGGGATTGTTGGAGAGCTTCCCAGGAACCCCACTGGCTTTGTCCTAGCACCCTGCCTCAAGGGCGACGCTTCAGCTTGAAGGGAGGATGATGATGATGATGAGGAGGAGGAGGAGGAGGAGGAGGGGGAGGAGGAGGAGGAGGAGGGGAGGAGGAGCTTGAGGAGGAGGAGGAGGAGGAGGAAGGGAAGAAGATGAGGAGGAGGAGGGGATGGAAGAGCTGGGTGAGGAGGATAAGGGAGGAGAGACAGCATAGGCGCCACTGCCTCTGCGCACGTGTCTTGTTGCATGCGTGCGTGTATGTGTAGTTGCACACGGTTATTCCTGTGTATATGTATAATTGTATGTATGTGTGTATATCTATATATAAAAATTGAAAGAGATGTGTACGTGCTAACAGGGGGCGACGATACGTATATGCAGTTTGCGTTACGGTTGCGGTATGTATGTGCGTTTTTACAGGAAGCTCCATCGCCGATCCGAGGCGTCCGCGCGGACCTCCGAGTTGTTATGTTTATAACCTTGTTTGTTCCTCTACTCCCGTGCCAGGAAAGCGGTGTCGGACCTAGCGGGCTTGCCGCAGCCCGTTTTCAGTGCAGGGCGAACGAAGGGGCCTGCAACAGGGGGTCTGCAATGCGGGCTGAATGGCCCATGTATGCTCAGTATGTGTATGTTTATGCTTATGTCATATACAAATGTAAATATTTCTTCATTCTATGTCTATATATATATATATATATATATTTGTGTATCGCTCATGTATGCGATCGGGTACGATTGGCATCCGCTGTTGGCGACCATGGAGGGCCAGTCGTTCGTGCCCGCGCGGTGCCTACGCCAGCAAACGCACCGTCCATCCATTATCGTTTATGCGTGCGGGCGTTCTTGCATATCGCGCGTGGGGCGGCGAAGTGGCGTGCACGTGTGTCTTGATTGTGCGATTGATGATCGAGCATGTTCCCAAACGATGACTTGCCGACCCCTAAGACAGATTTGAAAGGTGCCCCGCGATTTTCCCAACATGTGAATTTACATGTTCCTTTTTTTCCCAAAGTGTCAATTCACATTGTCCGTTTTCCCAAAATTGGAATTCACATTCGGTTTTTCATACAGAGTCCCATACAACACCCCCACATGTCGATTCACATTGTTTTTTCTGTTGTCCAAATGTGAATTCACATTCTCAAGTTTCCCAACATGTGAATTCACATGTTGCTTTTCCCCACACTGCGAATTCACATTCAGCCCTGGCCCTAATATCCCCCAAACTTAGGCGCAGTGTCAGTGTTCCGCATGATGAACTGGCTGGGCAGAGTTTGACATCCCGCCGTTTTCGTTTTATCCAACCTTCTCTTCTTGCGCCCTCAGCGCACGTTGCCTTCTTCGCCTTTCCCCAGCCCCCCCGCCTCCTTGCTTCGTTTACCTTCAAGTCTCGCGCATGTGTGTGATTCCATTCGTTCCCCCGCCGGACACAGCAATCGAGGATGTATCGCCCATGCATGGCCCATACAGACACCATTGCCGGGACCCTGCGCCCGACCCCCACATTCGTTCTCCCAGTTCGTTACCAGGACTTGTGCCTCCCCTTCAAAGTTCAGCCTTCCCCATGCTGCGGTTCTCCCTGCTCGGGGTTCAGTTTCCTCTCCACGTAGGCCGTGTCGGCCCAACTGTGTTGTGCGCGAACCGTGTAATTTATCAGAGTTCGTGTCTTCCCCACCCCAGACAGCCTTTCCAGCAACACTGCCGAGCTTGACGGTTCCGCCCCTGCGGATACGGTTTCATCAGGGTTCGTACCTTCCGCAACCGGGTGTCCCACCAAAACCATGTTTCCGTACCCAGGGAGGCTGTGCCAGGCCGAGCGGGGTATGCGGAGGCCGTGGTACTTCAGGTTCCTTGCCCTCCCACTGTACCAGCCCCACGAATACCACATTCCCCCTTCCGGCAAGGCTATGTCGGACCGCGCGTGAGCGGTGCCCCCTCCTCTCCCGCCATACTTCTCAGCACCGTCAGAGTTGCAGGAAAACCCCGCTGGGCCGCGGCAGTGTGGGGGAGTGGGTGGGAGTGCGTCCTCAACATCAGTCCTGTTCCTTCTTGCTGCTCCTTCACCTTGCCTTCCTGTGGCCTTCCCTGCGTGCATATCAATGTCATGGGCATGCCGTTACAGCTACTTTTCTGCCCCGCTGAGCTCGCAAAGCCGTTGACATCTTCATGAGGGGGTTTTCGATCGCATACTTTGTTGCGCGTCCGCTGCGCAATCCTCCAAGAAGACTCCACGAGGACTCGAAGTCAGTCCCTGGAGACACCCACGAAAACCGACAGAAAGCATCTTACATACGCCCTGAAGGAGTTCAAATACCACTCCTTGGGGTAGTCCACGGACCCTTTTGGACTCTGGAGGATATCCGGAAACCTTCTTGAGGCTCTCCTGCGATGGCCTGTTGGCCTCTGGGAATCCGCCCCGCCCTCTCTTGGAGCCCTTCTGGGCCGACTTGAAGCCAGCTCGGGCGACTCGTGTAGCTTCTCTGGGGTCCTCGGGACCATCTCGAGCCCGTGGGGGGCCCGATCGTTCTTGATGGTGATGGCGAAGACGATGATGATAGGGAAGAGGAGGTTGATGATGGTGATGATGATGTTGCTGATAAGGATTTGGTTGATGATGGTGCTGGTGATGGTGTGGATGTGGATTATGATACTGATGAGGATGACGGTTGCGATGGTGACGTCGACGGGGATGAGGGTGTTGATTTTGCAGACGCCGATTGATGATGGTGATGACGGCGGTGTAGGTGATGCGAATGACGATGGCGACGAGGGTAATGATGCTGATGGTGGTGGTGATAATACTGACGATGACGACGATGACGCACGATACTGACGATTATGACGATGGAAATGGCGATTCCGATTCCGATGATGGTGATGGTGATGATGATGATCATGAATTTGATGATGTTGATGATGTTGATTATGTTGATGATGATGATGATGGTGGTGTAGATGGGGATGATGATGATGATGATGCTGATGATGATGATGATGATGATGATGATGATGATGATGATGGTGGTACTGATGATGGTGATGACGATGGTGATTCTGATGATGCAAATGATGCTGATGATGCTCATGATGATGTTGCTGATGTTGATGATGGCTATGCTGATGCTGCCGACGTTGATGTGCAACATCGTCAGTCACATCACCATCGCCATCATCATGCTCACCATCATTATCAACACCAGTACCATTATTATCACCATCATCATCATATTCACCAGCATCATCATCAACATCCATCATCATCATCATCGTCGTAGCCACCACCATCATCATCAGCATCACCATTACCAGCAACATCATTATCATCGTCATCATCAGCATCATCATCATCATCATCATCATCATCATCATCATCATCATCATCATCATTCGGGCCACGCTCTACAAACTGGCCGCCCTTTCTATTGGCTGGCCCCAGACGGGTTCAAACTCTCTGGGTGACTTGGACATTCGCTCGGCTCCCACCGTGCCGCTGTCGAGGACTCCGTCGTCATCATCATCATCAGCAGCAGCAGCGTCATCATCCTCACCATCATCACCACCACCATCATCATCATCATCATCATCATCATCATCATCATCCTCACCATTACCATCATCATCATCATAATCACCATCATGATCCTAACCCTCATATTCTTTATCACCATCCTCGTTGTCATCACCACCACCATCATCATCATCATCATCATCATCATCATCATCACCATCACCATCATCATCATCACCGTTACCATCACCAACATCATCATCATCAGCAGCAGCATCTTGGGCCTCGTCATCTTCCTGCCGACCCCTTCATGCCATCCCGAGTCCTCCGTACCCGAGTCTTACGTCTTCCCGAGTTTCGGGCTGCTCCCCAGATCTAGGCCGAGGAGCCCCTCTGCGGCTGAGTCTGGCCGTGGCCAAGAGAGCACCGTCGCTCCTCGCTCGGCGCTCCGCATGTCCGCGGACGGCTTGTGTGCAGCGTACCGCGTCGGCGTTCCCCGAGGCGTCGTCGATCCTCGACCCAGGGATGGTGCGGTGCATAGTTTGTCGGCTCTCGGAGCCGAGCAACTGTGTACCGTACCGTGTTGGGGCGGGGCCTGAGAGGGAGAGTCCGAACGTGGTACGGTGCTCGGGCGCCGCTCTCGTAGTGCGAAGGCCTTGCGGCCAGTGCCGCCGACCCTGAAGGGGGGGACGACGACGACGACGACGACGACGACGACGACGACGACGACGACGACGACGGCGCGGCGGCGGCGGCGACGGCGACGGTGGCGACGACTGCGGCGGCGACGGCGACGGCGATGACAACGACATGCACGAAGGAGCATCATTGTATTTGCAGGTTCGGGGATCTCTTGGGGTCCTATGGCACTATGGTAGCACGATGACTCTACAGCGTGGGTTCTACAG